ATCATATCAGTGGAGAAGAGATCTTTCCAAAGGGAAAGCTAATGAAAGTGGTGCAGCTTGCCATAGATTTCAACCCATAGCGGATTTCTCCTCTAATACTAGTTTATCAGTTGCACCCAGTCGGTTACGAGAAGTGGAAGAAGCAAAATGCAACTGAGATGGCATGATACCTGATTCATGGGAATACTCGTCTATCTACTGTTTTTTGCTCAGGTCGTGTCAAAAGTGGACGAATATCTCTTTTATCATAATATGCTTTGGAAGTACAACATCTACCTATTCGACGTGTCAGAGGACTTGATGTTGTGTCACGAGGAGTCAGAAGTTTCAACGAATGAGGTTTAACTTCTCGTTAACCTTGGGAGACTGACGCAAGGGCTTGGAGAGGAACCGATTCAACACGATTCATTAAAGGATAGGGGCTAAACAAGCCCCTCCCTCTTTTCATTGGGCGGAATTTTCTCTCCATTTTTTTTTGTTTTTCGCCTATATATCTATTATAAATATGAGTGTTTGTTTTCCTAAGTTTGCTTTTTAGGTTGTTTTTTTATCCAGTTTGTGACGACATCCGTCAACGTCCTGTTTTCTCCTTGAGGGTTGTGTCTGACAGTTAAGGTGGTGCTCCAGTTGTATCCAACTCCCTGTGGCAAATATCTTCTCCGACTTCCACCTCCACCCTCCCTTTGTGTCAGCATCATGTTTTTCTTTGAGGGTTGTATCCGACCGTTAGGGTGGTGATATGGTTGTATCCCTCTCCCTATAGCAATTATCTTCTTTGACTTCCACCTCCACCCTCACTTTGTGTCGCCAATCGATGTTGTCCAACAATCCAACCGACCACCTGCGTCTCCCACATCTTCCAGATCTTGTTTTTCTGCATTCCAGCCTCCCTCTCGCATTCTCAAGCCTTCCCTAGCCTTGTTGCACCCCTAAAGACCATACCCAGCCGCAGGTTTTTCTGCAAGCCCCAGCATTCCAGCCCTCAATCACCCTTGCACCATCTCCCTCCCATCTCCACTGTAGCCCCGCTCTCCCCTCTCAGTCATAATCCATCCCAACCCGTCTCTCCGCTACCCGTCACCTAGGCTGAGGGCGAGAGGTAGCGACGCCAGCAGGGCAACAAACGGGAGGATTGGCGGGGTGCTTGCAACAGCAACCGAGGCAGATAGATAGGGCTCCCGGTTACAACGAGTAAGGGGAAAACTCCCTGCTGCAACAAGGTTGGACTGGAGGACGTAGGAGCGATAATTGGGGAGGGATTGCTGTGAGTTGGGAGGCCAGGTGATTGTTAGTGGGAGGGAATAGCCGTGTAAGGGGGAGGGCCAGCTATGAGCGGATTAAAGCAAGTGGAGGTGGACTGGACCCTGGATGGGAGAGGGCTGCAAGGGACGTGACTGCTATGAGGGAATTCTACCAGCCGGATGGTAGATGGAATAGGATTACGCTAGCAGGGAGGCCAAGGGAATGACTCACAGCAGTTTTTCAACAGTAAAAAGGAGTTACGACACTTTTTGTGAGGGAACTTGCGGCAACAGGCCTTGCTGCCTGTCTTCAGGAAGCTATGGAAAAACCAGCAGCGACACAGAAAGGTCGGGGGAAACAAAGAAAGGGGGTTAGAAAAGGTGGAGTTCGGAGGAGGCACTCACCGTCGGAGGAGAGGAGCACCACCTTTTCCGTCAGATGCAACCCTTGAAGGGAAAGCAGGAAGTCAACGGCTGTCGTCACAAACTAAAATCAGAAAATACATAAAATTGACACCCTAAGATACAAAATACCTATAAATAATAGACCCCCTCCTATTGGGTGGTAGGCCCAATGCCTAGAGTAGGATGGCAGAAGGAATAGGATTACGGTGGCAAGGAGGGTAGGGGAACGGCTCACACCAGTTGATCGGTGGTATAAAAGAGTTACGGCTCTCTCGGGGAAGGGAACATGCGACATAGGAAAGCCTGAAGTTGTAGCCGGTTTGCAGAAGACTACGGAGAGCACCTCTCTTTCCATCGGAAACAGCCATTGAAGAGAAAACAGAAAGTCGATAGCTATCCTCACAAGCAGAAATCAGAAAATACATAAACTGAAACCCTAAGATACAAAGCAACAATAAATATTAGTAAAATATGTGGATGGAGTGCGACCGCCCCGCCCTTTTCTTATTGGGCGTCTGGCCCTACCCAATGAGTCGGTTCAGGTTTAAGAGGTCGGTTTAGCCCCCTAGAATCCCCGTGTTAGTATTTATTTAAGAATATTTGTAATCAGAGTTCATGTTGCGAATTTAAAGCAACATAGTTTGTATACAATTACCCAGCAATTTATTTAGGATAGTGCAGCAATAAATTCATGTTCAAGCTCATTGGCAAGATTTCAAAGACACATTAGGTTCTTGCACTACTCAGCTCCATCTTTTCAATTCGTTGGCAAGCCACAAAGTCCCACGTAGGGTATATTTGTGTTTAGTTTCGATCATTGTAATTCATTTAACGCAACATGTATCACAGTTTAACACAAGACCTCCACATATCTACCATTATTTATTTTTGCTCTGTACCTTAGGGTTTCAGTTTATGTATTTTCTTATTTCAGTTTGTGAGGATAGCCATCGGCTTTCTGTTTTCCCTTCAAGGGTTATACCGGATGAAAAGAGTGGTGCTCCAGCTATATCCATCTTCTCTGGTGGTGAACCCCCCCCACGCCCTTTTTCTATTGGGCATCTAGACCAACGTTTAGGGCCAATAGGTCCTAAACCCTCTCCAATGAGTCGGTTCAGTTTCAGGAGGTCGATTTAGCCCCCTAGAACCCCTGTGTCAGTATCTATTTAAGAATATTTGTAATTTGAGTTCACATTGTGAATTTATAGCAACATAGTTAGTATACAATTAGCCAACATTTTATTTAGAATTGGTGTAGCAAAAAATTCATGTTCAAGCTCATTGGCAAGATTTAAAAGACACATTAGGTTTTTGTACTATTCAGTTCCATCTTCTCAATTTGTTGGCAAGCCACAAAGTCCCACATAGGCTATATTTGTGTTTAGTTTCGATCATTGTAATTCATTTAACACAACATGTATTACATTGTAAATTTTCATTTTGTTCATATCTTTATATTTAAATGTTCAATTTATCACATCTTTTTCAAGTCGTCAATTTCATTTTATTCTTTTTTGGGCCCTCTACTGAAAATTTCAACAATCTCCTGGCATCTCCCCAATATAGAGGACAATATTAAGAAATATGCATAAGAGTCTTTATGTATTTGCATGAAAATGAACACAAATTCTCCTGCCATATTGAAACAAAGTACACAAGCACTTGTTGAATTTCTCTGTTGCCAAATAAAAGAGCACACAATGTTTATGCACTATGTCACTAGTGACGCTCACCAGTTTCTTTATAATGCTAAGAAAAGTGTACATAGGTTCTACTTGTCATGTAAATGCACCACAATTGAGATTTTGGGAATATTTAGAGTTGTTTTGAAACTATGCAAGATGATTGATGAGAATGCAGGACAAAAAATTTCTATTAAAGAGATGACACGCATAATATATATTTTTCTTCTATTCGTGTTCTTCATGTCTCTCTTCTTCCTTTCTTTTCTTTCTTTTCATCTTTTTATATTCTCTTTTTCGTTGTTTCTTTTTTTCCTTCTTTTACCCTTTTTCTTTCTTTAAATATGCATATATGTATATATAAAAAGAGAAATATAATGAGATTTGCTGTAAAGAAAGGTAATTAGAGGTATAAAAAAGAAACAAAAATTTAGAAATAGAGGGAGAAAACAGAGTTAAAAAGTGACAAAAAAATAGAGTAAGTGTTGGATTTTAATACTTTCTTCACCTTTATCAAATTCCGACACTAGGCAAATTTAACTTAAATCCATTAGTCTCCCAAACCCTTTCCTCCACTTAAAATTATGTTGCTCCTACATATCCCATCTATGCCTTCTCCAATGAGCTCCATCATAACTTTCCGTGATGTTTCACTGTCAAAAGTTTTAGGATGTTCGTGACAGAATGACTGGTCACGAGACGCAAGAGCTATTCAGGTGGTCTAATATTAGGCAGGTGTGTGATTGCATGATAGTTGTGCTCGGTTGTTCAATTGAGCGAAAAAATAGATTTGAAAAGGGACTAGAGACGATAAATAGAGAATTTTGCGAGGGAGAGAATCAGTAGGACCAACACACCTGCGTGAAGGACATAAGAATGGCTAGAATTAGATTACTTAGATTATTTATTTTTTTTTTAATAATCAAACAGGATTGGAAACAATGCAAGAGGAAACAGAAAGGTTTTGGGGATACAAGAATTCATCAACTAAGAAATTGATGAATTTGGTTTGAATTTCTTAAATAATAATAATTGTCTGCTAACTTTTTTCATAAGTTTTCATCACCTCGAGCATGTCCCATAGCATATGGATAAATTCTCCAATTGTTTCACATACGATGACCCCGGGTAATATGGGTGCTCTATTCAGATAATTTTGATAATATTGACGCTTTGGTACAGTCTATTCCGAGAAAATTGTGACAATTGAATAATCTTAATTGTGATCGAGGCGTTCCAAAAATGTTTCCATGACCCAACAGTCATTGCTTTAGTCAGGTTCGATTGAATCAATTGGGGGTTCCTTTCTTAGTAATTTGATGACTCATACACATCAAAGCAACATGCTCTATGAAAAAAAATACAACATTTGAGTGATTTTGAGTATGATAAAAAGATATTAAATTTGTAACACTACATCTATTTTTTATCTTTGACATTGCGTTTGACCATGTTTAGTCAAGGAGCTTACCGAGGTTAACACAAACAAGACACACAAGTAATGGCTGACTCAAACCAGTACAGTGGATGGCTCATAAATCGATAATGCTAGCTTAATTTATTTAGTACTTGGACTATTTTTATGCCCTTGCAATGCTAGGGTGCTTAAATAGGCATAAGCTACTTCCCATAGAAACTGAACACTCTAGTGCAGTATGGAGGATAAACTAACCTACAAGAATCACCAGCAAAGGATCTTTTAGCAACATCGGCTTCCTCTTTCCTGTTTATAGGAAGGACAAAGGGATCACGATACGCAAGAGCAGCGGCAATTGTCAATGCTGGATCCAGGCACTGGAATATAGATCCCATTAGCAACATTTTTCCAATATTTGGATCTAATGGTAGAGTACAAAGATGACGCCCTGTTTACATCGCATTCAAAAGAGTGCATCAATAACAGGACACACTTCATCAGATATAGCAGTAAAAATGAAACCAACGAAGTAAATATAGATTAAAAACAAAATAAAGCATGCATGCACACCTAGAGGAGTCAGTTCCTCTCTTTCATCCAATGCCCCTATAGTCCTGAGAAGTTCGAGTGCATTATTAACAGCAAGTGGATCTGGTGGCTGTAGTGCCTTTCCAAGAAATGTTGCAACTGACCCAAGTTGTAAGGTTTTGATATGTAGGCAAAGTTCTTGCAAAGGAGTACGAAGAATTTCTGGTAACTGATATGCTGGCATCGCATCATGAATAAGTTTTGGGTACAGCCTATAACAAACTCCAGATTGAACACGGCCTGCACGGCCCTTTCTCTGTATAAATAATATATTATTTCATCATCAGATATCAGCAATCTGTGCACAGATGACCTCTTGAATTGAATAAAATAATGTACCTGCTGGGCTGAAGCCTTAGATATCCAAGACGGTAACAAGCAAGCAAGCTTATTAAGAGCATCATAGCTGGTTTCTTTCGCTTTCCCACAATCTATGACATAGACAACATCATCAACAGTGATACTGCTTTCTGCTATATTTGTTGCAAGAATGATCTTCCTGAAATTTGATAGGAAACTAGCATATATTATTATTATTCCCCTATTTGTGAGGTTCACACATTATTATTCTTCCACTTTTGTGAAGAACTTTTATAAAAAGTAAAAAAGGAATCAGCCACAAATGTTGAGAGAAGGCTAATGATTATGATGATTACTAATACACGATAAACTATAATATACAATTTCTCATTCTATATTTCACTGAAGGAATTAGTTTGTAAAATATATACACTGTCCACAGAGTCATTAGATGGCATCCTTAAACATGATATTTGAGCAAGTCCGCAAAGCTGGAGTTCAAGAATTGATGAAGCCAACATCAAGTACTAAGCTGAGATTTGCTCAATCAAGGCCAAGAAAAGGTTTCTAGAATCTTTTCAGCTTTATAGAAGAGAAAAAATTCATAGACAAAGTACAACAACTATATAGTGCAAGTTGACAAGATCCTTCTTTTACATTTAAAGTTGCACTGCAGTTAGTATATGCATAAGCATTGTGCAAAAAAATAAATCAAAAAGAAGATTCTCGAATATCGTGAATTCTTAATCACTTTTATATGATCAATAATACACAATAAGTGAACATGTAGAGGAAGTACTTGCCTCATATTCCTTGGTGGCCTATCAAATATTTCCCGCTGATTAACTGTTGGCATGGAACCATGCAATGGAAGAACTAGAAATTTGCTAGGATTGCCGATAAATGTGTTTGCTTTAATCTTGTCAAGCAATTTTGATATCTCATCCCATCCAGTAAGGAACACGAGGATTGCTCCATCTCCTTCAGAACGGCAAATATACTCGATTGTTGCTTCCACCTAAAATTATAAAATAAAAGAAAAAATCAAATGAATTTTACAACTAGAAGGAATGCAAATAAACAAAAGGCATGCGAGTTGGGGCCCAATAGGATAACAATTGAACTATCTAAGGCTACACCGCTTTTTGTAAGGTGACAATATTTATCTCTGAAGTAAAACAAATATTTTCCCATCATCAATCACACGGGAGCTTAACAGGTCGTGGTACTGTAGCCGGTACAATATCGCAAAATAGTATTGTATCTGCTACCATACTAGGACCCCTTTTTTTTTCCTATTTGATACCTTGTCTTTTCTATTCTCTTCCTAATTCTATTTCCTTCTATTCTAATTCCTTCATATTTTATCTATCATCCATTATATATGTGTGAATTTGCTTGCACAGGATTAGATTTTGTTTAATTCCATATTTCAGATTTCTATCAGGACAGCATCTGGCATTCGTTTTCACCTTCGAGGGTTGTATCCTAGGGATTGAGTGGTGCTCCGGATATAGCTCTCTCCCGAAATGGTGATTATCTTTCTCATATTCTCTTTCCTCCCACACCACTCCTTTCCGCCATGCCTCACTGCAAGCGCCCGCACAGCATTCGGTTTGCCAAGCACCTTCCCCTGTCTTCCAACATTGTTGTCGCCCAAACTGAACCACCTTACTGTTGTCTCAACCCTCCAAGTTGGCCGCTGCCACCCAGGACAGCAAGGGAACATCTCCTTCCTATTGTCCTGTCGTTATCCACCCCAACTCCTCATTTTCATCACCCAGGACAACCTTCATGCTTTGTCTCTGCATTTTTGTATCTTCCGCTTGTTGCCACCAGCATTCATTTGTTGCCACCACCCCCGCTAGCCATTCTGGTCCACCTAGCCGGCCTCCACGATCCTTGAGATACACTTTAGTGGTGTTTACTTATGTTTTTTTTATGTTTTTTCATCATTTATTTACTATTTGAAGAGTCGTCGTTGATATCCTATTTGAATTCAACAATAATATTTCTATTTTTATTGTGGGTTGACTCTGGTATCAATTGGTATCAAAGCTGGTCTAACCCTAGTCCTGTCCTAAACTTTCCTAACGCCCACCATAAATAAGAAAATTTTCTTTTCTACCACCAAATATCCTCTCCACTTCCACAAATTTCGAACCCCAAACATGTCACCTAGGAGATACATGCCCAAGCCTACCTTGGAAGAGATCCACCGACTTCAATGGAGATTGGCGTACATTGAGGATGACACCTTGGAAGGAGTTACCCTCGATGGTGACGGGGAAAGCCAAAGAAGAGAATGGAACGAAAATTTCAACCACTTCCATAGAGAGGACTTTAGTGATGCAAAAGACTGGCCACGAAGCTTTGGAATCTAGTATCAGAGAAGGTCGAAAGAAGAATCAGCATATGGAAAACTGAGAAAATGAAGATGAAGCGGGAGATCCAGCGCCAGGTCCTACCAACTTACGATAGACAAAAGATGCAGACTCTAGCTTCAAAAGTGAAGAGCACATCATCAGGTGACCACCACTTCTTACAAGCAGCGCTCAAGCTCAAGGTCTTACAACCAGATTTCACCCACGAGAACATCCAAGCTGACCCCATCAGCAAGAAAACTGAGTCAGAGTAGAGAACAGGTGTGAAGCAATCTGCATCCCTAAATCTGTCTCAGTCACGAAGTGTTGCATGTTGCAAGTGTCACAGCGAAGTGTTGCAAGTGTCACAGATTTGGGCATGTTGAATCAGACTGCACATCCAGGGGGTTGATCTGTTTCACCAGGCAGAAGGTTCTTGAAAAATTGGGTCATGACACAATAGACACTGATGACGGTGAAGACACAAAGGAGAATGACCAGCTTTTAGTTGATGAAGAAGAGATGTGCGTTGTTCCAGCTGAGCCGGGGGGAGAAACTCCAACCAACTTCACGGTGACTGTCAAAGGCAGTCTCGAGTTTGAGGAACTAACATTAGAGGCATAACAACCTCATATAAGAGAAATTTAAACCATTCAAATCTATAGACTCCTTCCTGAGTTGCCGCTACTGAGGGAGGTCTTGCACATCAAAAATAAGGCAATTTTAGCCCATGTCGGGAAGATTACATTGAATTATTCATATGTTAGATTTAGTTTGAAAATGTACCCACCATCAGATGTCCAGTCAGGAAGAAAGAAACCCAACCTTGAAATTAGTCTTAGAGCTTTATGGGGAAGGAAATTTTTCAAGGGGATTTTGGTCCTATAAGCGAAGAATAGGTCTTTTTGATGGTTGCTAGTGAGAGTGATGCGGCATGCCACAGATTTCACCCAGAGTTGATTTCTCTTCACATATTAATATATCAGCTATATTTTGCTAAGTATGAGAAGTGAAAGAAGAAGTTTTCAGACTTAGAGGCTCAAGTGTTACATTACGGGAACTTACATATATATACGCAGCTCCAGCTTATGATCTGTCATGAGAAGATGCATATTTATTCTATCAAGACATATTGTAGAATGACAATACCTACATGATCGACCTCCCAAAGGATTGCAATATCTATACTCCATTAACATGATAGACTTGAGTCTGTGCTGCAAGGAACCGAAAGCTTCAACGAATGAAGTCGAAGCTCCCCCAACCAAGAGTGATTGATGCGGGAGCTTAACGGGTTACGTCACTGTAGGTTCTACAATATCGCGGTTTTTTTTTCCTATTTGATCTCTTGCCTTCTAATATTCCCTTCATATTCTAATTCCTTCCTATTTTTTATCAATTCACTATTATATATGTGTGGTTTTGCTTTCTTAGGGTTAACATTTAATTCATTCCAAATTTTAGATTTCAGTCAAGACAGCAGTTGACATTTGTTTTCCCTTTCGAGGGGTTGTATTATTGACAGTGTGCATGTTTGCATTAAAGAAAAAGAGAGAAAAAGTTACAACTATGGCAGTAGCCACCAAAAACACAAAAAAAGAAAAGGTCACTAAGTAGTTACCCCGCACAAAACTTTATCCCTTTGGACAAAGACAAACAAGGGATGACCATCTTCTAAATTCCTAGTAACAAAATTATCATGTAAAGCTAACTTAGCATTATTAGGTGTCGTCACATTCTTAAAACGTGAAGTATGTGAAAAAAGAACCTAGCGAAGTTCGGTCAAAAAAGGTTGCATCAAAATCAACCAAGTTTGCTTGATGCCAAAAGGATCGGTCCATAGTTTTTTGGAGAGCTCGAATAACATTTATGTTATCCCCTTCGAAAAAATGCCTTTCATTTCCATGGTTCAATAACTGCGTCAATAAAACATACTGCCTCTTGTTCCACACATGAGTTGTGCCACTGAATAAGGTTCTATCTGGCTGCCACTAAGCAGTTTCCCATCATGTCGCAAATAATTACCCCCAAGCCGACAAGACCAAAAGGAAGCATAGCCCCAAAAATAATTGCTTTGACCCATCCAAGAGGGGGGAGGGGGGAGGAGGGAGGGGGAAACCAATGTTGGGAATAAGATGGTCCCAATGACCGAACAGTGTGTCATTGCTCTCGAGCCAGACAACCAAAGTTTTGGGTTATGAAATATAAAACCTTGGCGGCCAAAACCATAGGGGTGCCGAACAACCTGCAATGAGCCTTTGCATTTCGGGCCCTCCAGCACTAGTACACAACTCCACAATAAATTCTCTTCACCATCATTAGTTTGGTTCAAGCACATGGGTAAATTCTCGAAATTGTCAGGAGTTACATTCCAAACTCCCCACCTTGAGAGAAGCTGAAGAGTGGCTTTCAACACCCAACATTCAATTGCAATATGCAAACGGTCCTCAGTCTCCGCATTTCCCCATAAGCAGCCCGGGTTATCGCCAATATTTCTACTCACAAGTAATGAATTAGTGGGAACAACATCTTGTAACAATCGCCACCAAAAAATTGTTTCTCAGGGATGAAGTTTTCGCCCTCTAAGACAAACATTGAAGCCAACAAATTTATTAAATTGTTTTTGGTAAGTAATTGTTGTGGCAGTGCAGCCCGAGTGGGAAAGAATTAAAGAAGGTTGATCCTGTGAAACACGCCCAAGTTGATGGACCATACAAATAGTCTAATTAGCTCCCTTCCAAACCACCCTGCATACTGCCGCTATCCCAATTGTCATTTAGAAGTAAAGCATTCACCCGCAGATTCTCAGAAGTTTCCACATTAATGTAAGTACGCCATAGTGAGATGGGTTGATCCAAAATCCACCTGTCATAGATAACATAGGCATATCTGTCATCTCCAATATCCCACAGCACAATTTCTCGAAGAACAGTAATGCCATCCTCTATAATTATCGAGATTGTAGAATTTGTTCTATTGTTGTCATGATCTCAAAGGATTCTTGAATGCTTCTAAGTCAAGTAATAAAATGGAAAGGACTCTGGCTTATGAAGAAGTTGCTTCTAAGTCAAGTAATAAAATGGAAAGGACTCTGTCTTATGAAGAAGTTCCCAAGCTAACTTAGCCCTCAAAGGTCCACACCACTTTCCCAAGCCTCACAACTTTCTAGGCAAACATAGTCATTTCCACGCAATGTAATGTAATGCACGCCAGGTTGGTCCTTTATCCACATCGAACCGGGAAGATTTGAGTGGGATAATAAGTACTTAGACATAGGAAGAAGAGAATGATTGATTAAAGTACACCGCCCCGCCAACAAGAGATGGAGGTTTCCCCATCCCAGTTGTTTTCCGTTTACCTTCCTCATTAAATCGTTAAATTCTTCTGTTGTCAACCTCCTCATAGCAAGAGTAATGCTGAGATATTCCAATGCACAATTTTTTTGTAATTGAGGTACCGTGAAAATTCAATTGTTGCGCCCATTCAGTGATTTTTTATTGAACATAATCAAGGATTTTAATTGATTAACGTGATGCCCCGTCCAAGCACAATAATTATCAAATACTTTCTTGAGATTCCTTACAATCTGTAAAGAGGCCTCCCAAAAGAGTAAAATATCATCAGCATATAATAAATGGGAAGGCTTCTTACTTCCGAGAGTCACAGCAACTCCCCATCCTCCATCTGCCTGCTTAAGAGCTTGTGACAGTAGTTCTGAACATAAAATAAATAGGTAAGGGGGTGAGGCATTCTTGTCAAAATACACAATGGGCCTCAATCCAAGGCGTATGTCTGTCATTGATTAAAATAGTGAAGCGGGGGTTTTCAATGCTTTAGGTGTTCCACATGCGATAGACTGTTGCAAGCTGAAATTGTTCCATAACAATAAGAAGCGTTCCTAGTATATTTTATCGTATGTTGTTTCCATGTCAAGCTTGATCGTCATAAACCCGGCTTTTGAGTTAGAATGTTGGAAGGGCCCAATTACCACTTGAGCCATCAAATAGTGCGAGGAAATCAAGCGATTAGGGACAAAAGCGCTCTGCTCCATCGAAATGAAAGAAGGAAGAAAGTTCTTCAACCTGTTAACCATGATTTTATCTATAATTTTATAACTGGATTGACAAAGGCTTATGGGATGGTAATTGGATGGGGAATCAGCATTTTTCACCTTGGGATGAGCACCACTGAAGTGTCCTATTCCAGAGGCATATATCTTTTCTCAAAAAAATCATGCATCTCACTACAAACAACACCACCAATCAATGACCAAAAATTTTTGAAAAACGATGCAATTATACCATCAATACCAGGGGCTCGGTTTGGAGCCATGCTCTTGATTGCCGCCCAAATTTCCTAGTCAGCAACCTTACTTGCCAAAATACTCTCCATGGTACATGCCAAATTGCTCAGTACATCAAGTGCTTGTCAATTATCAATGCAAATAGCTTTCTGTTCACACTTTGCCGCAAAGATTTTGAAGGTATTCGAAATGAACTCAGAAGTTTCATTTAGGTTCCCATCTTCATCGCTATTCGAGGGTTGTCATCGAGTGATTAGGCGGTGCTCTCAATTATATATCTCTCCCGAGGTGGTGATTATCTTCCTCCTATTCTCTTCCGCATTTGTTGACCTCACTTTAGGTCAACCCTTCGTTCGAACTCACAATCAACACACATCCAACTCGAATCTGAAACCTACCTACATTGAGCTAAGAATGACCAGTTCATGGTTCACTTAAGCTTTCGTCAAGGACCTCATTTTCTTCGTGGTGCGGGACCTCCGCTTTGACCCTAATTGCCTTGCCTTGGAGTCAATGTAGCCAAAATCCACCATACCTTTAAACTCCTTGAATTTTCTTCCATTGGGGTGGGTCATGGTTGTCTTTTTTGGTCAAGATCGTCAGTCTGCGCGTCCCGCGCGCACACGAGCACATGCACGCCATTGAGCGCCCGCGCAAGCGGACACGCACAGATGCATCCACCATCGACCCCACATGGGCGCGTCTACACTGCACTCCCCCTTCGACAGGCGTGAAAATGATAGTTCAGACATAGCCACCCTCGTAACTTCCCAGGGGTGGTTACGCCCAGTTCAAGCATATCCAAACATGGTAGTTCCCGGGCATGGTCACACTCAGTTCGAGCATAACCATGCATGGATGTTTCCGAGTGGTCACTTCCGATGCTAGGATAGCCATGCCCTCGAGCCACCCCAACAATCCTTGGCCTTCATCCTCGGATCCGACTATGAATCGAAGCATCATTTTGCAGCCAGTGATCCTTAGGAGCACTAATCACCGTGGGAATCGAGACCAGCGATCCCCACCTCAATCGACAGTCAACGACGCACATACTACCGTTTCTATCACCTATAAATAGGCGACCCCTTGGCTCTGCTTCAAGAGAGATTCGACACTGATACTTCCAATTGGCAACCAAGGCCCTTCGACGTGCACAAAAAAGAGTTCGAGTGCTTCTACCTCCTCCGGCAAAACACCATAGCCTCCTCTTCGGTAAGCCTCCTTTTATATTGTGCTTAGTATTTTTTTTATGTTAATTTGAGTTCAGATTAACCCAATTAGGCTTAGGTTGACCCGAACCCAGACTAACCCTAACCTGAACCCAAGCCAACTCAGTTCCAATTCAGATCAGACCCAAATCCAACCTAAGTCAACCCAAATCAGTCTAAGTTCAAACCAACCGAACCCACATCGTAGCCAAGCTCAATCTGAGCTGACCGCAACTAAACCCTAACTAACCTTAGCACATTCCCATTCCAAGTTTAATCCAAGCTAAATTTGCATTATGTCGTTTTAGATGTTATAGCTTTCCATGTGTTATGTTGTTTCATGCATAGTTTCACATTTCACATTCCATGCGTCGTTTCAAATGAACAAAAACAAAAAAATAGATAAAAGAAGGAGGAGAACATCTTCCAAGATGATTCTCTCCACAAATATTTAATAAGACACCTAAAATCTAAGAAAACAACCATGATATTTTACTTCAACCGACAAACCAGGAATTAAAACAAACATGAACTAATTATCGAACCCCCAATAATAATCTAAAAAACACCAGCATAAAGAACGAAAACCAAACATAGGCAAATCTGACATAAACCTTAGATTAGCAAACTAAAAGATAAGAATCGAGGATCATACACATACCCTAGGTTAGTCCAAGTATAGAAACATATATAAGTTAAATAGGTACCCTAGTTAGTGCTAATAACTAAGACAAAAAACAAGCAACTATCCTCTGAGACAAAAGGGAATGTTTTAGTATGAAGTAGCCCATGGTTACCGACGAAGGCATTTCAAACCGCTTTGAAACTAAAGAGCCTTTCACATGACATGATCATGGCACTCAATGAGGATTTCTATTTATAAGGTTGGTTATAACTGAAGTATACCAATATACCCGAGACGACGGAAAGTCATGGGCATCTTGATCATGGTCGTTATTCCGAAAGTCTTGGTTATTCCACCTATTAGAATTCCTTATAGAGTCTAGGGTTTTACTTCCATCTAGAAACCCTTCCAACCTGACTCTATTTTTTATACTCCAATAATTTCAAACCAAGTCAAACAAATCATTCTTGATCTCATTTTTTTATCACATCCGATCAAATCAAAACTCACTACTAATCTTTTCCAAACTCTTCAACCACCATCTTTTAGGTAAACCTTCTTTCCTAGGCGGTTAATTCCATTTGTCCAGCTTTTTCATGACACACTATTATCAGATCGTAAGTTCCATCCTTTTGAGCTTAAATTTCCCAAAACCCCATCCCATTGGATTTTTCCTTCATCTTCAAAGAATCAACTTTGACGGACCAATCTGGATATCATATGTCATTATATTAATCGAGAGATTTCTTTATGGCTCACGGTTCTGAAGATGTAATGAGAGTTTACCCTTATAGGAAATCCAACCCTAAAATAAAATAAATAGTCTTACACCCATAAGATAAGGGATAAAACTCTGGTCCCGTAGACTTACGAAGTTCTTCATCATCTAAATGATTAAGCCCATTTTAAGGTAGTATTTCCTTCCCTTAGAGTGGTATATTATTCTTTAGAATGTCATGTTGGGTCATTTAGATAGTCTTCTGAAAGTTCTATAGTGTATCGAAACAAAAAAATGCACAACCAACATCCTCCCACACCGCTCCCTGCCACCATAACTCACTATAACGGTCTGCAACCTCACTCGGTTTGTTGTTTTTTGCAGTCCTCGGCATACTAGCCACCTTCCTCTTCCCTTCCCGCATTGTTTTCGCCCGAACCGCACCTCCTTCTTGCTATCCCAGCCCTCTCACCCGACCGCTGCCGCCCAGGACAGCCAATGAACACCTCCTTCCTGTTGCCCACAAATATTCACACCAACTTCTCACTGCCATCACGCGGGACGGCCTCCATACTTGTTGTCCCTGCATTTCTGCACCTTCCCCTCACTGCCACCAACATTGGTTTGATGCGCCACCCTCACTAGCCATCCCGATCCACCTAACCGACCTCCACCACCATCGGGATACATTTTAGTGGTGTTTTCTTGTGTTGTTTTATGTTCTTTGTCAATTAATTTCTAATTGAAGATTCATCATTATAACTCGATTTGAATTCAACAATAATATTTCTATTTCTATTTATGATTTGGGTTAACTCTGATATGAATGAATATAGAGATAATCTAATTAATGGAAATTTGGCAAGGTCTAATGATCAATTGCTCATGGCATGCCTCTGAGTACCATATTCAAAATAAAACAAATATCTCCCCAATAAATTGAATCATTATGGGGATTGTATGCAATGTTATACGTATGAATTATAATATGGACAGAGATAAGAGATTTTTGGTATGCATCTGCGTTTGCTTATGTATTGACATGGGTAAAGAAAGAGAAATAGAGTAAATGAATTAAAAATAAATAACAACTTTAATAAATGTCAACTCACAAGACCCAAATCAAGCAACGAACCAGACCACGTCTCAAGCGATTGCCTCGTGGACATGCTATAATTTTTATAACAGCTATCAATTTCAACATCCTACATAAAGTAAAAACAAACAAAATAGCAAAATGAGTCTGGACAAGTCTGAAAGAGAACTAGCATAAGAACCATATTGAAAATATAATTTATACTGCTATACAATGCATGCTACACAAATTTAATCAGGGTATATCATCAAGCCATGCATCTTACCTTTAAATCCTTACCTCAAACATTTCAGTCAAAGGGTCACTTTTGCTCACCGTCTGCCTTCTTCTAGAATTTCCATGAAAATTATCAAACTCTGACATGATCTGTAAATGAGTTTTCTCCAAGATGTCTTCAAGGAAAATTTCTTCTACAGGAAAAGTAAAACCCTGGAAAACATCCAATAAGACACAAGTGACGGCCAGAATCCAGAACATCAAAAGTGTGGTTTCTTATTTGTTTCAAAGACTAGTTAGAATACCGGAATATGAATTACAGGTGAGTTTCCAAAATATTTTGAAAATAAATCAGCATTTATTGTAGCACTCATCAAAATTAATCTGAGGTCTGGACGCCGAGGAAGAAGATCACGCAAAATTATGATGAGGAAATCCTCATTCATGCCTCTTTCATGAATTTCATCAATTATCAGATGACTAACTCCTCCTAAATCAGGCTCTTGAACCTGTCATCACATATTTAATTTTAGTCTTAAAAAATGTCGCAGTCATAAATATAGTGAAATCTGTCATATTAACAGCATGCAAACCTAATTAAACTCTAAGAAATGCAAAAAAGCACCAAAAATAGGCCAGAAACAGTAACAAATATTATTACTATTACTATATCATCTTCATCATCATCATCATTATTTTATTATTATTATTACAACTAATAATAAGATTACAATTATAATTACAACAATATCATCATTTTAAGAGAAAAAATTATTTAGTGCTAAAAGGAAGATTAAGAATATAATAGTATAATACTACTAGTTCTAAGAAAAATAAACTTTAGGTTCATATAAATTTGAATCAATATAATCATGAGGAATGAAGTCCATTTATGATTTGTCTGCGTGTACTTCTGCATATGTTGTTTCAAAATAATGAAAGAAATTTAAAAATTGAAACTGCAAATACCACACAGCTTAAAAGAAAAACTCTCACCAACAGACAAATTATTAGACAGTAGTGAGAAGCCGAAAAAAACCATCCCAAGCGTTGAGTCTCTTCAATGAGATGAGAAACTTGGAAGTACTTTTCCTTGAGATGGATTTCAGTTTGTTCAACCAAATTTCTCCTAATGTGATGTGAGTTTATTTAGATAAAGGATCAAGGCTTCCTCCTAGTGCAAGGCCCCATAATTAATTAACCATCTTGTTCACAAGAAAACGCACTTGATTAAAGAAATAGCAGATTTAAGCTCAAACTTAATATCTAGATTTAAATTTAATTGAATGGAGTCAAAATCTTATGGTTCTATCAGGCTAGGTATATCCGTAGATCAAAACTGCTAACATTGACGTTTTAAAACATCTAGAGAAGAAAACTAACAACAATGGACTATCTCTTATTAAGTATCTCCAGCAAACCTATGTGGCAATACGCGTCAACAATAAAGGTACTTATTGTACCAGTTAAATTGGATAGTTTAAAAAGATGGAGCATGACACTTACAAATTAAAAGGTATAACGATTCGGAGGTCTGGCATAACCATTAGTAGTTTGCATTTATGTTTGGCTTGAGGAAGTGTATCTAAGGCCCATGTGCATTTTTTGTAGACTTAGTTTTAGGCTCCCTAACATGAAAATTGCCCTGAGTTCAATTAGGAAAATTGTTATCATAAAAACTAGCCCAAGTTTAATATGTTAAGTCATTATTGTTGATAACTTGGCTAAAGATTGTGATACTGGAGTTAACCCAAATCACAACAGGAATAAAAAATATTATCATTGAAAGTAAATAGGATTATGCTGGACTCATTCAATTTCTCACTGAAGAATGTTATGGGATGACCTCCTTGAATCTGTATTGTTCCAATCCTCAAATTGGAGGCGCCACACTCCACCTCAAACAGATGCTTGAAGTCTGGTAATGCCAATATTGAATCAAATTTTACAATTATTTTTCTAAATGCTACATTTAGTATAGCCTTAATTTTTCTTTGTAGGTGATTTCTTTTTAATAGCCATGAAAATTACAAAATAAAATAGTTTTTATTTAAATAATTAGGCCAAATTTATGCTTATGAAATACATAATCTCAATACAAAAATTACATATAAATTAATTTATAGACTTTATAAGAAACTTTTTTTTATTTTGATCCATATAATTCCAATTATCTTGATTTAATAATTTTAAGAATTAGACTATTATTTAATCAACTAGGTGAATAACAATATTGCAACCTTAGTATTGGTTTTAATTTAGGCATATTAATTCATTTATCTTAAACTTATAATCATAATTTTATTAATTAAAAATATAAATTGGATTTTTTTATAATTTTATCCATAGTTAGTACAAGATGGAGCGCAATTACTTCATATCATGTATTAAATTATAAACTACACCAAAATATATTTATGACTCAAGTGAAGCTAGTGGTTTGATTAGCTCAAATAAATTCAAATGGTATCACAAAATAGAGGTTAAAGACAGAAAAAAAAATATTTTTGAGTCATAAATTTATTATAATTTAAGATATGTAGATGATAAGATGACGAGCGCATATTAGTGATGAAAATAAAAAAATATTATCATTGAGAAAAAGATGAAGTTATAAGGGTTTTTTTCTTGTATAAAATATTTAATAAGAAGAGGTGAAAGAAAAGATGTGTGATATGACCAACCTATATTAATCCATGAAAAATACTCGCAAAAAGTCATACCATCAAAACTACTTTATAATCAAGTAGAAAATCTGCGGAAATTAAACCATAAATTTGAAAAATTCTATTTTGTTATTGTTTACAGCATAGAAAATACTATCTATCTCAAAAGATAGAAATATAATTATATAATTAACTCAATTAAAAAATAAGAATTTAAAAACTTAAGTTTACAATCAAAGAGGACTTTTCTTACCTCTTTTTGGAAATGATTGAATTTATTTTATTATGGGATTTAGGTTCCACATAAAGGCAAGTTATTATGCTTAATTGTATCCTTGAAGAACTGATTTCTTAAGGAAATTTACAATTAAAGTAGTAGCTAGCATTTTTATCATTCTAAAATATTAGGTTCAACAATTTCATATTAAAGTTCAAATCAGATAAACTGAAATTTAGAAATGATTTTTTTTCGAAGCTAATGGAAGAAGATTAAGTACTGAATGTTAATAAGTTAAAAAAAAATTCTTAATTAACATAGATTAGGCTTTATAGTTATGAAGTTAAGGTATCAGGTTGTTTGTGTTTTTCATTTTAACTAGAATTTGGCGCTTATATTCATCAGCACAAACTTCTAAAAAAGCATGAAAAATAAAGAATTACCTAATAAGAAATTATTTGTCTTAGATTCTACACTAAGGTGATAAGGCGTAACTTAAATATAATTTTAATAAAGTGCATCCGACTTCTAATGTTTTATCTAAATATAGATTGAAATGGGCATGATGCAACTAGACTTATAATCAAACATAAAAAAAAATTGTGAACTAAACCACAGAAATGCTTCTAAATTATGAGGTTAAGTCATATACAGTACAAAGTCGGTTAGGCTTATTACTTAACAAGAAAAATGGGACTTAAAACATAGCCACTACAACTAAGCTACCCAACCATAGAAAGTCACAACGTACAATAGGCAAGATGCATTTACCTTTAATATACGACTCATAGGTTCATTTATGTTTATAAATTTATGCATGTTTATATTTTAACCTGATATAAGATGAAGACTACAAAGAAATCTTCTCTGAAAAGTTGGCATGAGGTGGCCAAGGTGTCGAAGGTGACACCACTATATATCATCTAATGAAATAAGCATGCATTCATCTAAAGCTTAATTACATTCCTGTGCTCATACGCATACATCTAAAAGGAAGATGTGGAGCCCATGTAGTGGACTGCATGGGAACAGCAAGCATGTAGATCCAACTCAACCTACCAATATAGGGTTATAACCTACAAAGTGCTTTATCAGGGCATATCCAAAAATTATCATAAGATGCTTCACCATAAGTAAAATTGTTAAACAGATGTAGGGTTCGTATTTTTATTTTGATATGACTTGCCATAATATATCATGACAGAGATCATAATACTAGCGTTAATAATACGAATGAGTATCAGATTCATTTTAATAACCAAACGATGAAGTATATTTTAATATATAAGCCAATATACCAATATGTGTTATAACCTACAAATTGCTTTATTAAAGCATATCCAAAAATTATCATAAGATGCTTCACCATAAGTAATACTGTTCAAAAGATGTAGGGTTGGTAAGTTTATTTTTTTATGTCTTACCATAATATATCATAACAAGGATCATAATATTTGCATTAATAATATGAATGAGTATCAACTTCATTTTTAATAACGATAAGATGAAGAATTATAATAAAAATGGCCCAGAATTAGGGATGAAAAGATCCATGAAAAGCATATGTTGCTGTTTTCATGCAGTTTGGCATGAAAAAAGTGTAAAATACTGGTGAGCATGCGGGAATGACTGCATCAAAAGACCAACAATGCGGGTGGTCAAATATGATTCAACAGGTTTTAACAGAACTACTGGGAGTATAGTCCATGCAATGGGTCGCCATTTTAGATGTGGAGAAACTGTAAGATATTACGAAAGAAGATGATGGTATGTATAAAGTTAGTTGAGAATTTTATGAAGAGTGAAATTTATGAGGTGGCAAAAAGTTGATCGCGGTGAAACTTTAGCATAGGTGGCAGGTGCATGAGAAAGAAGCAACAGAATTAGGTGTGTGTCAAGAGACGAGTAGATGCTAGCGTAGTCTATGGGCTTCTGTCACAAAAGCTTGGGTTACGGGTTTTGGACATCCCAAGTTCATGAGGAACAGAAGAAGATATTGCAAAAGATAGGCCAATGAGCAATACAGGAGAATCGCTTGATTTGTATCACACAAGCAATTCTTTGATGGACGTGGGCCAGAGTGATATGTGGTTACTGAATTCAAAAGATCAGATAGTCTAGAATTAGAAACTTTGCAAAATCCAAAGAAAAACAAAAAGGAATTGATTAGATCTCACACTAATATCAATTGATGGAGGTGAGAAGGGGGAGAAGTAGAGAAACTCCATGTACACAACTTTTGAGTGATCTGCACACAACTTTGATCAATAGATAACACTAAAATAGGCCTAGAAAATAATTCCATTTATTTGTTAATCAATAGCCAATATATGTTATGAAAACAAGCCATGAATCACAACTTATATAAATATGTTTAAGAATATAAAGCCACATAATTTGAATTCAAATACAATTCTACCCAACATATAATCATGTCTAATAGTTAAAATTTAAACCTGAAATTATTAAAAATAATAATAATAATAATGCATCCTAATTAAAAAAATCAGATGAACCTAATAAATCATCAATTCTAATTGATTGAAAAAAAAATAATTTAAATTATTTTTTGTGCAGCATACTGTTATCCGAAGGCCGACCTCACTTGGTAGGATAAAAGCTTGTTGGCGTTGTTTTTGTTGTTTAATGTTATCTGCATATCATTGTAATATTTCCACTCTATTCAAAAATATGCATTCAAAATCAGCTTAATTATAGTGTCTGACACCAAATGCTCCTCTTATTCATAATAATTAGCTGTTTATTAAGCATCTTCATGTTAGTCTAGCTCCTTAAACAAAGATCTAGTCTGACTCCAATAGACTCCAATCATTGATTATCTTATAAGCCCTATTAGCATAGATTTTTATCCCTGATAATAATAGCATCAATTTCTCCAAGAAAAGTGGTGGTTAAACAAAAAAGTATAAGCTGAAGAAAAATTAGGACTTTTAGTGCAAATATCAAATTGAAGTAAAATAAAGATTTTATTACCAGTTTTCGCAGTAACACTCCAGTTGTACAAAAGAGAAGCCGGGTTTGTGCAGAACGCTTAGCTTCTAAGCGGATCTGGTAACCAACAGTTTCCCCAATAGTCTCTCCCCTTTCAGTAGCAACCCTCGTTGCAACAGAAATAGCAGATATACGACGAGGTTGAGTGCATACTATACTGCAGTCTGCACCCTTGAGGTTTGCTATTTCCTCTTCAAGAATAAATTGGGGGAGCTGTGTGGTTTTGCCGCAACCAGTCTCTCCGGAGACAACTAGCACCTGTTTAAAAAATAAGATTTACATAACAGTCATACATACCATCCAATTCTATGTATTACATATCCAACACAAATATTAATTTTTACATCTAGAGCCCTTCACCCATGCATGAGAAGGCATATTTCACCTTTTAAAGACTAAATAGTGGCATTGTTTATGTGATATAAAAAACTTGGGTGTTATAATTGTAAAAAAGTAAAGTTTAGGTGTTAGATATGTAAAATCATAGGAATTGGGTGGTATGTGTGTAAATGCCCCCAAGAAAAACAATTGACAGGTACATCGCGTGTGAAAATAGAATCTCCTCCAAAAGCCAAAAAAAAACAGAGCGATTATAGCACAAAAAAAGTAAGAAATATTTCACCAATGAAAGATGTTTTCAAAGCAACAAATTGAAATGAAGCTCTGAGATTAGTTAAAAACAATAATAATCATATTAGTCTTATCCCGTCTACTTCGAGTTAGATTTTGAATCCAGAATTTCCATTCATACATATCTAATGCTACATATGGAGCAAATTCTAGTCCATGTATTGCAAACTATTCGTTAAATTACTAAGTATAATTCTTTTCTTCCTATTCCATTACTCACAATAAGCTAGAAAGAAAAAGAATGCATCAATATTGAACTAAATCCATTCCCAAAAAAAGTTACTGACGTAGAAGTTAACCCAAAACACAATAAGAAAGCAAATATTATTACTAAAAAAAATTAATAGGCAATTACAACCATCCACGGGAACGGGAAATAACAACACGACACACGAATAGAGAGAATCTCAGGTGGTGATTAGAGGAACTTGGAGAGGTGGGGGCAGAGATTATAGGCTGCTGGAACTGCAGAGAAGCAAGAGGCAGCGGTCCCAACAGCAGCAGTTTGCCGTTTGGGGGAGGCAACAAAGAGGGAGAAGCTGAATAGGGGTGGCAGAAGCAATGAGGAAGAGTGGGGATGCTGGCGGCTGCAAATAAGAAGGGCTAGAAGGCTGGTAGGTGCCCAGGACAGTTGGCAGGGAGGTATGGGGGGTTGCAAACGACAACAAAGGTGCAATCCTAGGGGGTGGCTATAGTAGTTATGGCGACAGCGATGGCGACGGCGAAGGAAAGGTTACAGAGGATGGGGAAAATAGAGGATAAATACCACCTCGAAAGCGAGATGCGGTTGGAGCCCCACTCGACCCTTTAAAAAACAATCACCACCTCGGAACGAGATACAGTTGGGGCACCTACTCGCCCTTGGATACAGCACTTGACTAGAAAACAGAAGATGCCAATGGCAGTCCTGACATAAATACAATCAAAATCTGAAAACCTAAAACACAAAAATCAATTATATAATCCCCTGGTAGCTAAGGAGTGGCCCCAATCCAATTGGATGACAGTCCAACGGCTTGGAGGACCGACCAACCCATCATAAAGCTGGACAGGTGCGGTCCAAGAGCAGGACGCAAATCCCGCGTCAGCTATTTGGCACTCACGTGCCCGTTAAGTAGATGCTCGCGTTAGTCTCCATGAGTTGTGGGAGATACAACCTTATTCGTCGAAGCTTTTGTCTTCTCATAGTAGTCAGGTCGAGTCCGTTGAAAGTAACAAAAATTACAAGCTCCCGAAACATCAATCATTTAAGTGTTGTCATCCCAAAACACATTCTAATAGAATAATTATTCATCCACTTTTAGCACAACTTGAGTTGGAGTTGCATACCGGTGTAAATTCCCACGAGCCAAATTTCAAGCAAGTAAATCTATAATCTGTTTCTCCCACTCCTCATACTCAGTTGGATGTATCTAATAAATAAAGTTATCATGAAGAATCAACTCTATAACGACATTGATGACAAACTAAGCCACATTGAAGTGTAACCACCTTTTCTTCTTCTCCTTGGAAAGGACTGGAATATCATTGTACCTAAGGCAGTGTCCAACGTTATGATTCATCATCATGTCTAATCATCTGTTGGTCGGTTCAATGTTGAACTGATTCTAATACCAAATGACTTCATATAGTTTTCTAAAAGTGGCACAAAATAGTCTCATGTTTGATATATTGGACCTCCCTTAGTAGGGGCAAAAGGTAAGCATACTATATATCTAAAACAGTTTGAAATACTCTTATCTGAGGTTGTCATATATCTGGTGTTGATTCCTCGAACTTAAGACCGTTTGGACCACCAATGTTAGTTTTGTTGGAGTCTCTCTCATGGGCTCACCTTGAAGCAAGTACTTTTCTCTGTCATAAGTTGGAATCTAATACTCAGTGTCTACTCTGTCATTGCCATTTTTTGCAACTGCTTTCTGATCGGTGAAAAAAAACCTCCTAATTGGGCAATCTGATTCAATATGCTCAAATCTGTGACACTTGAACACTTCCTTATTAGGACGTATTAGAAAATACGGATTGATTCCACCTATTTTTCACTCTGAACTAGTGTCTCTTCAGACGCAGTCAGCTTGGATATTTCGTTTGGTGTACACTTGCAGTTTAATCCTAAGATTGAACTCTGTCTGTAAGATGCGGCAGTTCCGGTGATATTGTCTTTCCACTTTTGAGACATTTTGTCTGTAATGAACTAGTAAGTGTCGACACTGCATTTCTCGTTTCAACTTAGATTATGTAGTAATTTTACTATTCCCTTTTCGCTGTCGAAGAATCTTAAAGTTCTCTAACCAAAAAGATGAACTATTTCTTGACTTATTAGCGCTTAGTTTCACCATTCAGTCTAGTGAAACATCTCAGTACTAAAAGAAAATTCAATGTCCACACCACTCGATGAACACGTCAGATCTATATGGTTGTCAAAATATGGCAAATACAAATTTACTTCAAAATCTTGACTTCTCCAATATTACATGCCAAATCTTAAAAATAGTAATTCTTCATCTCTGGAATCTGTCTGGTGGAAGGGATTCATTGCATCCTTTCAATGATGAATTACCGTTGTGTCTGTGATTGATCCTTCTGGATGGTCTCCTCTTGAAGAAGGCAAGCCTTTATTACAACTGAAGGATTTCCATAGAAAACTTATGAATATCTCTTCATGAATTTCTCATAAGCGACATCATACCATTTTCCCTCGATCGGGTTTCTAGCTATTGTCTCTACGCTGACATGGCTAGAATTTTGGTGTGGGTATGCGGGATATGGTTTATGGGTGTGATGTCAAGTGGGAAAGAAATATTTTGGGATAAGTAGTGGGAGGTTTAGGTAACCTAGGATAGGAATAAGTTTAGACTAACTATGATACCAAATTATATAGGAGTTCACCCAAATAACAATAAACAAAGAAATATTATTACTGGTTACAACAAACACAAGGAAATGAAAAATACACACAGCACTCAACTAGATTTGTATCCCACAGCGGAGATGGTTGGTTGGTGATTTAGAAAGTTGGATGGTGGGGTGGCAGCGAAGGACGATGGCGGCAACAAAGAGAAGGTGGGAAATTGTCAGAATATTGAGAAGGCGGGTTTCCATGGGCAGTGACAATAAAGGGGAATGACGGCGGCAGTGACGAGGAATGTGTGCAACTGCGGGACAGCAAAATAAGGGTTTTCCCGGGTGTGCGGTAGTGTGAGGATGACTGGACTTCAAGGAACCGCAAAAGACCAGGAAAAAGGCTATTATCAAGGAGGCATGCATCGAGGAGGAATGTGTAGCAATGAAGCGAGAGGGATGCAGAAGAGTTGAGAAGGATAAATCACCAACTCGAGAGCGAGCTACAACTGGAACTTCGCTTGACCGTTGGAAGCTAATCATCACCTTGGAACAAGATATAGTTGAGCACCATCCGCCCCTGGATACATCCCTAGAGGGTGAAACAGTGAACGACGACGGTTGTCCTAACAGAAACACAAAAAAAAAGAAAACTTAAAACACAAAAATCAATTATATAAGCCCTAGATAGCTAAGGAGTGGCCCCACTCCATTGGATGACGGTTAACTAGCTTAGATGGTCGGCCAGTCCGAAAGAATGTTGGACCAGTGCGGTCCTAGAATGGGAGGCAACTCCCACGTCCACTAGTTGGTGCTCTCGCGCTAGCAATGTTGACACCTGCATCAGTTAGAGTCAAAGAGAAAACGAACAACATTTAGGATAAAATCTAGTCTTCACGCCCATGCTATAAAAACTCCTCAACAAAAAACAGAACAGATGAAAGATAACAAGAAAAGTCAGGCCAACCAAACTAAAAATGAATCGCCAACCAAACTATGGATAGAATTTCCTTAAAAAAACAACCCCACAAAAAAGGATACCAGATTATCGGAACCTTACAAGCGGAACCATAACTTCACTCCTTAGTCTAATTTTTAGTGTTTCACTTTTGGAATTCAGCAAGTAAAATACAAAATAAAATGGCTAGCATTCAATAAAAAAGGGTGAAACTGAAGCATGGCATTTAAACAAAATGAAGCTTACATATAGTTTTGTGAAACGAATTAACACTCAAGAAAAAGAAATTTTCGGAACCTTACAAGAGGAAACTTCATTTCTTCCAACGAACATCTAACATTCATTCAATATCTGGAATGGTGGCATGCAAAATGAAGGGAAAGGGGTTAATTTTTCATATAGTTGTAAGCTTTTATAGGACAAGTAAAATATGGATAAAATAAAATTATTCAATTAGTAAAATGCATTAAGAAGAAAGAAAAGAAATGAGCAAGGTCCCATTTTATGTTTTTTTTTTCGTTTTTACTTTTGTTTTTGAAATCATGTTTGGTTAGCATAATTTTAACACGTTTTTATTTTAAATTTTAAAAATAAATCACCTTATTTTTAAATACACTCAAAGCACCTATGATATATTATGAGTGGTTTTAAAAACAACTACCACAATCATACATGCTTTAATTTAAATCAAAACAAAAAATAAATAAAATAAAAATAAAAATTAGAAAACAAAAAATAAAAATGATCCCAAATGGGGCTTAAGAAAACACTGAGAAGATAATGTACTAAAATCAATAGTAAAATCATTTCCTATAGTAAAAGTCAATGA